ATATATATATATATATATATATATATATATATATATATATATATATATATATATATATATATATATATATATATATAATTTGTTTTTTTATCTTTACAACTTTTTGTTACAAGTTATAGCATTGATATTCTTGACTCAGGGTTTTAATCAGGGTTGTCAATTTCCAAATTAGATTTCAGAGATTATTCCTGAACTTAGAGTCTATGGCTGCCATTTTTATATAGACTTCTAATTGAAAAATGACAAGTTTTAAAAAACCTAAAATCCTAACCTTTTTTTCAAGTTTTTCAGTTTATAAACATTTTCAAAGCTCCAAAGTATGCAAAATAGTTTAAAAAAATTTTGTTTAAAAATTATAATTAGTAAAAGCATAATGAATTTATCTAACATAAGTTTGGTTCTTTTGGTTACCTATAAATTAATTTTGGATTATTTACATTGAGTAGTTTTAGGTATATAGGATACTCTTTTGGCTTAATACATTAAAATCACTTTTATTTTCTAGATGTTATTTTCAGTGGTCCTGGAATGTCACTTGAGGCAATCATATTTGCAAATACTTTTGAATTTTTGGTGAATATTCAATATACCCTGGCCTCATATTCTGGGATTCATAGTACATTTATGAACCATACTGTATAAAATAAACAATGTCTATAATAGCACACCAGGAACACGTGTCAGAACATGATACATGTTTTTTATTTTTATATTTATTTCAAGACCTAAATGTTTAAATTTATTTTCAGAACACGTGTTTGACTTCCTGGTAAAATAATTAACAAATCCATCAGGGCCATTATTATAAGTACCTAGACATGAGTATTCTTTAATACATATGGTAGCATACTCTAATAAAATATGTTTAAAAAATTTTTAACTTAACTGAACTTTAAAATAAAATTATTATGGATGGCTTAAGTCTTTAAAAAATAGAAATCAAATGTGCGCCCCATCTTTACTCTTCACTTATTTTTACTTGTACTAATCTATTAAAAGTTTGTATAAGTTTTATTTCTGCTTGCCTGAGCAACTGGGGCTAATGGGATCATTTTCCTTCTTATATTCTGGTGTGAATGGAGTATTATCTCATGAGTTCTTGCAAACATAAGATACCCTAAAAATGTGTTACATGTCTTAAATATATTTTTACAATAAACTTCAAATTTATCTGAGTCTATTGGGTGCTTAACAGGGTGTTTGTGGGTGTTTACAGGACAACACACAAACTGTAATAGAAAATCTTATAACAAGCAAAATGGTCTTTAAATGGAACTGGTAATCTGTCTTTTTCATTTCCAGTTTTTTGTTTATAAATAGAAAACTGGAAACGAAAAAGAATATTTGCAATAAATTTTTTGACTAAGTTAATCTGATTGTGTTAAAAAATTTTAATTTAAACACTAATTTAACTTGCATATATATTTTCATACTTTTTTTTGGAACAAGTATTTAAAAATGTCTTTGTTTTTCATTTTTAAACTTGGTCTTAATTCATCAATAATCAATATATTTTTTGATAAAAGATCTTACAATCGAGGTCATTTACAAATAGTTAAAAACTAATCTTAAGTAAATACCATGAAATAGGATTGATAATACAAATAACAATGATAATAATAATGATTATAAATTAAAAGTTATAAGAATAATAAGAAAATTATATGATAATAAACCAATATTAATTTTAAAATAACTGTTGAATATAATGCACAGACAAAAAAGTTACAAACAGTTATGTACTGAGAAAATGTAACAACCTACCATGAACTAAAACAATTGTTGCAAAAAAAAGTAACAATTTAATAAATATAGTAATCTTAATATTAATAATCATAATAAAAACAATAAAAGTTAAATAAAACTTCATTTAAAAATAACAATAAATAAACAAAACAAAAATTGTTCAATAATACTCACAAATAAAAACGTGACACACACAAACATTTAGTCACAAAAAGTATAGAGTTTTCATAATGAATGACAATATTAAAATAAAAAAGTAAATCATATCAAGCAAACACATATCGTCACTCAAAAATAGTGAAATTTAAAAAATATTTTTTTTTCTTTCTTTAAAAACGGAGTAATTTATATATTTTATTTTAATTCTTTTTTAATTTCTTTCCATTTTAGAATGTTTTTATTTTTTTAACTTTGGTTTTTTGTCTTTCCTTTTTCTTTTCTAGTTTCTTTTTTCTTTTGTTAATTTTGTTTGATTTGTTTTTTAATTTTTTTTTTAGTTGTTTTTCCTTTTTTTCTTTTTTTTTTTCTTATTTTATTCTTTTTTCTTTATCTTTCTTTTTTTTTTCTTTTTTTTTTAAATTTATTTATAAAATTCGTTATAAAAAAGCGTCTGCCATTCCAGAAGTCTCTGCAAATAAAACTAAATTATTATTATTTGCTAATTTTCTAATTTTTAAAAATTTTCCTGATTGATCAAAATTTTTAAACATTTTTTTTTTTTAAATATTGAACATGCAGTAAATTGTATCTTTTG